GAGTGAAACCTTGAAAGCTCGCGAGATCAGGATGGTTTCACGAGGCTAAAGTAAAATGTCTTCAAAATTGGAAACTGGTCCAGTGGAGTTTTGGAAGACCAACATAAATCTGTTAGCACCAGAGCCAAACGCATTGAAACACTGCGGTACTTCTGGTTTGGATGAAGACTGCCTGGTGAGGCTACATCCAGGTGCATCACCTGTCTGACTGGATCAGCACCAGAGAAACGGACTGAACTGTTTGTATTTTGCTGAATTTGAAATCAGCGGCTGCGTCCTCCAAAGGCCAGATTCGTCCGCCGATTACGTCATAGTGTGGCGCCGAGGCCTGTTCTGATTGGTCTCCTCATTATGCAACAGAAAAATGCGTCCTTCTTTTATCCCTTCTTTTTGAAGGAGAGGACCGCTGTATCCTCAGTAGCCTTGGGTATCCCATGATTCAATGTGAGTCAAAGCAAGCCGTCTGTTCCGTGCTCAGAGGAAAAAGGGAAATGGCGCCGAACAGTGGTGAATATTGGAAGTGCAGATTAATATAATCCAAGTATATGAATAACTCCGTCTGAAATGAATGAAAATAGTTGTTTTAAATGGTTATTGAGTCAGATATGTGTCGGTAATGTTTGGTTTATTGAAGGGTTTTACCCGTTTCTGTACAAATGGGTTTGGCTGACATTTAACCTGCAGTGTGGGGACCATAAATCAGATATCTGAGATGTTATTAGCACCCGGAACAGCAGTGAGAAATTCAGCATCCATTCTTTGCCTGCTTTGTTTCTCAACTGCAACAGTTGCTAGGAGACAGAGCGTATGGCGTAAGGCTTTCGGTGACAACCGAAGAAGAATAGACCGGCCTCCTTATTTTAACGGACCTCTAAGGACCCAGTCCAGGTAGACCGGGTCCGAGCCGATCTACCAGAACCTGGCGCACTCTGCATGTGCGAAACAAGGGAGTTCTTCTTCTTCTGGATTGATGAGTCCGACCGGCGCCATCTCTTGGCGCTGAGTCTGAGGTGTGGCTTGTGGACGTACAGTGTGAGCTGGTAGATCGCATCAGAGTGTCGGGAACTGCGAACTTTTAAACCCTGCAGTTTTGTCGTACAGTGTGAGCTGTAGCTGAGTACGATTGAAAACATCGTAGAGCGTAGGTCCGGCTTAATGGAGCTGAATCTAACTGCCGGATGCTCTGGTTATCACCTCACTAATGGCTCTCTAGACCTGTCGCCTCCTTTCTGAATTGATTGATTTAAATCTCAACATGGGTTTGCATGAGAGGAGGAGCAACCAACCCTCCTCTTTCTTCCTTTTCTTTTCTCCACTTTCTCTCTTCCTTTCACCCTTATCCCCCCCCCTCCCCTCGCTGCCTCCTCTGAACCTCCTCCGTCTCTCAAACGCTCCACTCTTCACTCTCTCTCTCGCTTTAATGTTTTATTCATGCAGACTCGTCCTCCTCACTGTTTCCAGTCTAAATATATTTTTACTCTCTGGCCCCAATTTCTCTCCCTGTATTTTTTGGTTAGATTTCTTTGTCTTCCTTCTCATGTTTTCATTTTAATCATCTCCTCTTCATCTGTTCTTGAAGCCTCTTTGCAGTTTATGTAAATGTGACACCAGCCTGCTCACCGACGCGTGCCGAATGGAAACACACGCCGTGACACACAGCGTATCTAATCCAATCTTCCAATCTGCTCTTATTGATGTTGACCCGCTGACCTGAACTGTGTCCGAGACACATCTCAGAGCAATTAGGGTGTGTGTGTGGGGGGGGGGTTGGTCAGGAGGCGCATTAACCCCCTACACCCCCCCGAATTCCCCGCCTTCTGCCACGCCTCAACACGGCTGTGATGGAGCTATCACTGGATTAAAAAATGATGTGTTTGTGGTGGGGGGGTGGGGTATTGCTGCAGCATGCCATCTGGTGCCCACCCGCTTTGGGTGGTGCAGGTGGGGGGGTCTGCATAAGCACACCCACCAGAAACCTCCTCCGGTTCCTCCACTGGTTCCCCCCTGTGGGCCGAATTGCTCATTTCATCATTCAGACGAGCCGCAGCATAATGATCATTAAAGTCTTTTCTCTTTATTCCCGGATAAAAGGAACAGGATCTCACTTTAAATGTCTTTAAACATGAAATATTTAAATCACAGAAAATGTGTTGCATTTTTAGAGATAGAAGCTCAAGTGTTTGAAGACAAAGCCGCAGAGGCTTCGACGTGTTTTAGGTCGTAGCGTCCTACGAACGTCTGATTCTTTAAGCTACGCTAAAATGTTTAAGGTGATCAAACACACTTTAATATCAAAAATAAAACTATTACTATTACAAAGTCATTGATCTTTCTAATCCAGAAAGGTTTAAAAAACATTTGGGAGGCTTTGGGACTCTAAAGAACCACATTGAGAACCGTCATCCACAGTTGGAGAGAATATAAAACAGGTTAGAACCCAGGAAACCGGCGTTCTGTCAGACCAGCATACCCTCAGTCAATACCCGTTTATCCCTTTAGTTTTGTAGGAAAAATAAACTTTAAACTACCTCAATGGGCGTGTATCTATGGAAGAGGATTAGACCCACTGAAAAAAAAAGCTAACTGATTTTAAAATTTTATTCCAGTTTAATATGGGATATAATTAGAATTTTAATCTCAGAATTCTGACTTTAATCTCAGAATTCTGACTTTAATCTCAGACTTCTGACTTTAATCTCAGATTTCTGACTTTAATCTCAGAATTCTGACTTTAATCTCAGACTTCTGACTTTAATCTCAGACTTCTGACTTTAATCTCAGATTTCTGACTTTAATCTCAGAATTCTGACTTTTTTCTCAGACTTCTGACTTTAATCTCAGAATTCTGACTTTAATCTCAGACTTCTGACTTTAATCTCAGAATTCTGACTTTTTTCTCAGAATTCAGGAGGCAGTCTGAAATCTTCTCAGATGGAATATATCTGTCCTCTAATATCAAAATCTTGAATTGGATTGAATAACATCTGCAAACATGTAAAGTCGGAGGTTATGAGCTTCTATAAGATTGATTGGCATAAAAACGGTTGAAAAATGCAATCGGTCTGAAGTTTTTTTTTGTTCACAACCACACTTCAGTTCCCTAAAGCCGAGTGCGATATTTTCAATCGTTGCTCGCAGCTACAGCTCGAAGTGTTCGGCGAAACCACAGGGTTTAAAAGTTCACCGCTCACGATGTTTGTTCTCACACTGTGCGGCCCAATGCTCTGATGCGATCTACCTGCTCACCCTGTACGTCTAAAAACCACACATCAGACAAGAGATGGCGCTGGTCGGACTCGTCAATCTGGAAGAAGAAGAAGAAGAACTCCCTTGTATTCACGCAGTTCTCAAGGTTCTGGTAAATCGGCTCGTAGCTCTGCTTCAACAGCAGGATTTGTCCACGACCTCCTTACGACGGCTGACTGAATTTCAGTTTGATTTTCTCCAGACCTTACGATTCCTGATCGGGAGGCGGTCGTGAGAGGCTAATCACACCTCGTTACCCCCGTATACTACACAACACAAGACAAAAGAGAAAGCTGAAACTCTGCCCGATTGAAAAATTCTCGTAGAGTGTATGCCCGGCTTTAGTTTGACTTTAAGATTCAACTAAAATCTTAAAGTGAAATCGATCAATCGATTTCCAATAATTGATGTCAGTTCTCTGGCTGTATTTACCGACAGGTTTATTTGGTGGAGTTTATTTGTTTCTATTCATGTTCAGGTGAATTAGTTAGTTAGTTTGAAAACTGGAGTTTGGTTTGATGTTAGTCTTTTTTTTAATGTATTTTGTTGATGATTTCTACAGTAGATCATCAATAGTTAGACTATGAAGGGCTGGTTATCCTTCCACAGCAGAGTGTGGTAGTTAGCTTGTCACAGGTATGATGTAGATATTTTTGATTTATGCCCAATTTTGAAGAGTGGTCTGCACTGTTATTCCAAACCACAACAGAACGGGGCCAATCAGGAACTAGCTAGGATTGTGGATGTCCATGTGTCGGTTTGACGAGCTTGTTCGCCGTCTACAACCCCTCATCCAACGCCGGACGATACACAGTTTAACCGTGAGTGTTCCCCAAAGACTGGCCGTGGCGCTGCTTGTTTGGGCTTTGGGTGCAAACCAACAGACCGTCACACAGAGCAACAAACTAGCGTCCTGTACGGTGTCTGGGATAGAGTCCGAGGTGTGCCTGGCGTTGTGGACGCCGCTACAGCCAGAGTTTCTGCCATTTCTGACTCTGGGTAGGACAGTAGTCTAGAATTGGATTTAGACCCCCCATCCCGTGCAGTGATTGTGTGTTTGAGCGGCCACCTACGTGCAGATCTTGTGCAAGTTCTCTCTGTCGTCCAGGTCCTGGGGATAGTTGGCCATGTCGTCCCCCAACTGAATCAGACAGTCTGAGAAACCTTTAAACACCGAGTCACATTGACCAGCGCTGACAAGTACCGTCTGCAACAGGGGTACTGCAGAGAGGGAGGGGGGAATAAGGGGAGGGAGAGACAAAAGACAATTTTAATACAGCAAACAAGAGACAATGACTTTGGGGTTTGGATTGTGAGAAATGTCCCTTTTCTGTCCGATGCGGAGTAACGGGTCCTACTGTAGGACAGACTAAATCAGTGTACAACAAGCAGGAAGAGAGGATGTGATGTAAGAGCAGCACATTTAAGTAGAAGGAGGTCAAAATTTGCAGACTAAAGTGATTGAAAATATTTCATGTCAAGTAGTGAAGAGTTGGAGGCACACAGCTAAATTTAAACACCAAATAATAACAGAAATGCCATGAAATTGACTTTCTTCTTCTCAGTCAGCTGTTGTTTTACCTGTGCCAACAATGTCTAACACCTGAAGGTCAGAATTTTCTCACTTTGCCAGTTCAATGGACTGAACCCTGAATGGGACGGATGATATAATGCAGGCTAGGACAGTTCGATTCAGACACTTCTTTCTCCATTACAATGTAGCAGGATCTGATTGGGGGCAGGATCTTTTACAGCGAGGCGGCCCTACAGTCTGATGTGTTACAGTTTGCAGCAGCAGCCGCCTGCGTTTATCGCTTCTGTCAGACTCAAACCTCTTTCCCACTGACTGAAAAACCCATTTATACCAGGAAACAATGGGCTTTTAGTGGCAATGGGAACAGCTTTCTGACGTGTGTCTACCCGGGTCAAAAGACTTGACAAGCGACCTGCGTTAGAATCTCTCTACGGACGTTAACGCACCGCGCCAGTCGCTTCTGATCTAACAAGCAGAAATGACTCTTTTACATTCGATAAACATGGAGCAGCTCTGGTGAGAGGGATTCAGACAGATAATAGAGAGAAGCAATAAAACACGCTGACTACGCCCTGGCTTCCTAACATTTTGCTCTCCATTGTTTACTGTCCTGATTTCTGTCGCACTAGTGACATCATCAACGTCAACCCAGAGTGATGGCATCACCAGACACGCAGTGGTCGGTTAAGGGGCTATGAAGCTGCCAGCGAGGGGTTAGACCAGCTTTTTATGGCCAATGGGAAGGGAGCCAAATGCTGATTGTTAGCGGGTCGACCCAGTTTTGAAAACCGTTTTCAGAGGGAAAGAGGTTTCAGCGAGAAAGGCTACGTTTACACAGCAGCCTGAATTAATCCGAATCCGATTCATGGCAGTCTAAACGACACAGATACGATTCTTTCCGATGCGACCCAGCCCACTTGGCTATGCGGTCCTGAATCCGATACGAATCTGATCTTTTCAAATGTGACCTGTGTCTGAACGGCCAGGTCGCATTCATCCCACCTGAACGGCGTTAATACCCGATATAGGTCAGTATTCTGCTTCTTGCTACACAGAAGCAGCAAGAAAGACAACAACCATGATGGACAATGATGCGAAGAGTAGTATTTATATTTAACCAACTTGAAAAGATTGAGTTTTAAGGTTGGGAAAGATCGCAAAATGCGCTCCAGCACGACCATCAATGTTTACTTTCGTAAACACAGAGAACGCTGGCTTGTGATGTCATTGCGTCCTCTACTGCGCATGCGGGACAGTTAAGCTGTATGAATCCAGTTCACACAGGAGATCACATACAAGTTGCAGATATTTGGAAATGTGAATGGCAACGTAAACAGGGTTGAATTAAATTCCTGAATCTGTGCAGCTGTCGTCAAAGGAAACCAAGCTGCTTAAAGATGGTCTGATAGTCTTTACCTTTAAAATGCTGCTCTATAGGTTTCTTTTAATTTGCTTCTAATTAGTTTCCTCTGGTCCGTGTTGAGTGTGGTAAACACCATGTCACCAAACAGTAGAGTGATTACCTGTAGTGCTACATATAGGCTAATTAGTGGAAACTCCTTGATCTAATGTGTCCCTATGCCCTTATTGTATTTTCTTTCTAAAAAAGTTTAAAAAAAAATCAATCCTCTGGACTTTGTTTCCAAGTTTGAAGACGTTTCTCTTCCATCCAGGAAGATTTTTCAATCCAAATGTCAGAAATAGCGTTTAGTTCCAGGTTTTATCCAGCAGTCCAACAAAGCCTGGTTTTAGTTTAGAAAACATGCAAATAGAAACGGATGAATGGGTCCCCCCCTTTGGAATGGGGG